GTCTTGAGGTCAGGCCATAAAGCTTAATCATAAACTGCTGTCACAGAAACGTAAGCACAGACAATTTGTAAGGCATCTGGCTTAGTAATTCATCCATCCTCAGATGGTCCCAGGCCGGTGACACGCTGGTGACTTCCCTGTTTAGGGTGGTTCAGGTCTGGTATGGGCCAAAATGGCTGCACATGGGTTCTCTCAACCTTCCTTTTCTGCCTTATCCCTACATTATCTCCCTCCAATGTGTTTCCTCTCTTTTCCTAAAACTACCTAGCCCCACCCATTCTTTCTGCCCAACTTGTGGCCAAGCTCTCCCATGAAGCTATCAGTGGCACCCCCCAAACTGTGATACCTTCCTTTGAATCGACGACCAAAGCTAATAGATCACCCTGTTCTCCAATCATGTGGTGATATGGTTTCGATATTTGGCCCCTCCAAATTTCATGTTGAAATTTGATCCCCAGTGTTGAAGGGGGTGCCTGGTGGGAGGAGTTTGGGTCATGGAGGCAGATCCCTCATGAATGGCTTGATGTCCATGCTATAATGAGCGAGTTCTCACTTTGTTAGTTCAGGAGAGCGCTGATTGTTTAAAGGAGCCTGGCACCACACCCTCTCTCTCTTGCTCCCTCTCTCACCATGTGACACGCCTGTTCCCACTTTGCCTTCCTCCTGGATTGGAAGCTCTCTGACACCTTCACCAGAAGCAGATGCTGACACCATGCTTCTTGTACAGCCTGTAGAACCATAAGCCAAATAAACCTCTTTATAAATTACCCAGCCTTAGGCATTTCCTTTATAGCAGCACAAAATGCACTAACACACGTGGGATTCCCAGAGGCTGTGTTCCTGCCACTTGACATACATAATACCTAGCACTCAGAAAGTACTCAATAAATGTTGGTTGAATAAAGATTGTGTTGGCAATGGAAGTGCACCACCCCGATCGCCCTTCAAGAGAACCTGCTGGGGGAAATACAGTCGACTGAGAGCTTCCAGCCGCTATGGCTTCAGGTCCCCTGTAGTATCCTCTGGCTTCTTCCAGTCAGTGACTGAGCATGGTGGGCGTACAAGAACCTGGCCATTTCTGCCAGGTGTAGGACACCTCAGCAAGCAACCTTTGCTTGGGGACTCCCCGTCAGCCTGGCTGAGACGACAAAGCAGTCTGAAGCTCCTCCCACCCAAGTCTCCTCATTTCCCACTCCCCTTCCTCAGGTGTCTGACCTGCATCATGGTCTGAGGGCTCCCCTTCCCTTTTCTTCCACCTTTCCTCTTTATCCTTTGCAGGCATTTTTCCCAGAAAAAAAAAAAAACAAAAATAAAAACATCTAGGCATCTGATTCTCAGGGGACCCAAACCAACACAGGGTCAATGAAAGAAAAATGCTGGAAGAGAGTAAATAAGAAGACTACAGATATACTTGCATAAGAGATATACGTACAAAGACGTGCTGGATCCATGCCTCACAAACTTCAATGTGCATGTGTCACCTGGGAATCCTGTTGAAATGCAGATCTGGTATAGGGCAGGCCCCAGATTCTGTATTTCTAAGAAGTTCCCAGGTGATACCAATGTCGCTGGTCCAAGGACCACACGTTGAGCAGCAAGGCATCATTTTCCACTGCCCCACTGTGTCTTTTTGCCCTGTTCCACACCCTGGGAGACCGACTGTATGGACTCCATCAGCAGGCTCCAAGCCTCTGGCTTCCAATTGGGTTTGCCAATGAGGAGCTCTGACAGGAGGTCAGAGGGCAGGAGGAGGGTGAAGTCAGAGGTTTATATTTCTCTGGGGATAGCTCCCTACTGAGCTGTGTCCCTCTATTAAAGGCTATCACTCCTGTCTAGTAACTTTGCTGTTTTTTCTCTTATGGACTTTCAGTACCTGCTCTTCCCTTTCTCTCCTTCAGGCCTGGGGTGGTAATAGCTCCTACTGTTACCAGCCCTGGAGTACTGTATCGCCCCTTGTGGCTCTTAGTAAATCCTGTCCACACTTCTGTAAATAGTTCTTTGGTAAGCGTTCCTGAGTTCCTCAGCCAAGTGTGCTATCTGTTCCCTGCCAGGATCCTGGCTGCTACAAGTACTGTCCAATGTGGGATTTTGTTTCTTTTCTTTTTCTGAGACAGGGTCTCACTCTATTGCCCAGGCTGGAGTGCAGTTGGTGTGATCACATCACTGCTCACGGTAACCTCAAATTCTTGAATTCCTGAGTGTTAGGTCCAGAGCTGAGAGGCAGACACATGAAGCCTCAGGTGTAGCAAAATGCTGTTTATTTAAGAATCTGGTACAGATGGATGGAGGCCAAAAAGAGTGTCCACGCTAAGGGAGGGGAGAGGGTTTTATAGAGGGTTTTTTCAGGTGGAGTGAGCAACTGGGCTAGAACAGCTGCTGGAATAAATTCTTTTCAAACAACCAATTTCTGGGACCCCTGTATTGGTCTTATCCTGCAGAGATGGGGGGGTAGCTTCGTCCTTATGGAAGGGGAAAGGAATGTCGGCATTGCCACCACTGTCTGTGGTCAGAGTTAGATTTAAAACCTCTGGACTCTCCAGACTCCTGCGGCTATTGTTTCACAGGCTTTATGATCACTACCTAAGTTTTCCATTAACTGTATTTTGTCCTATACATATTTCTCGGGTTCCCAACCTAAACAAGCCTAACACTAGGCTCAAGTGATCCTTTTGCTTCAGCCTTCCGAGTAGCTGGGACTACTGGTGGGCACCACCACATCCAGCTAATTTTTAATTTTTTTGTAGAGACAGGCTCTTGCTATGTTGCCCAGGATGATCTCGAACTCCTGGCCTCAAGCAATCCTCTTGCCTCAGCCTTCCAAAGCTCTGGAATTACAGGTATGAGCCACCGCACCCAGCCTAGGATTTTTTACAATAGCAGAAAACTGGAAAGAAACTAAATGTGCCTTATTTTAAAATGATTAAACAAACTACATTATATCAGCTTAATGGTGTTATATGCAACCACTAAAAAAATGCAGCGGTTTATAGTCACCTATGTGGAAAGATGCCTAAGACATTTGTTAAATAGAAAAAAAGAAAAGAAAAAAAAATCATGATTCAGAATAGTATGCATAGTATGAACCCATTCATTTAAAAAAGTAAATTATGCATTTGTTAAGGCTTGGGTTGCAAGTGATGACAACCCGCTCAAAGTAAACCTAACCAAAAAGAATGAGGGGGGCAGATTTTCTGACTCCATCTCTTTCCCATCACTTGGTTCTGCTTTCCTTTGCTGTGGCTTACTTTCACGCAGGCTGTCTTTAAGCGGTGGCAGAGTGAGCACCAATTTGGTTTGCAACATCCTGATATCCTGACAGCTGACAACATCAACAGAGAGGACTCTGTTCCCAATTGCTTCAGTAAAAATCCCGGGCTGAAGCCAATCAAGATGGGAGATGGGCTTGGCCATGCACTACCCACCAAACCATAAGGACTGTGGGTGGGGGAGAAATGCTCTCCCAAAGAAAGGGGGTGTCTAGAGGGAATATTTTGTAGTAGACATTTGTTATCCTTTTTGACTGCCCAGCATCTGAACCCCTTCCTACATTGGGCAGTCCCCTACTTTCTGGGGCAGAGCCTACCTCCCAACATTCCAGATGCTGAAAATGCCAGCAACTCACTTTCCCAGACTTCCTTTTTGTCAGGCAGAGCACATGACCCAGGTTGGACCAATCAGAAACTCCCACCCCAGGCTCTGAATCTGGAGCCAGTGACACCAAAAAGGGCTGAGATGACTCCATTCGGGGACAGGGTGCAGCTGTGGCATGATCTGGGGCATTGTTCTTGGCTGTGGGGCCTTTAGAACTGGTTCTCTGGCCCTGATGTGATCTGTGAACTATGAAAGAACCTTGTACTAAATCCTCTTTGCTTACACTATTCAGAGGGTTTTCTGCTGTTTGCAATGAAGAAGGCTGAATAATGCCTATACGTATGTGTACGTGGTTGTATATGTGTGAAATATTTTTGGAAAGATAAAATAAATGTGAATATGGGTTACCTATGGGGAGTAGGACTGGAAAAATGGAGGAGGAGAGAAAGGGGCTTTTACTTTTGCCTTATGCCCTTTCGTACTGTTGGAATTTAGTTTTTACTTTTATAATTATATACTTTTATAATTAAACTAGTTAGTAAAAGTGTATGAAAAGATACTTGAGTGAAGAGACTAAGACAAAGGTGCAATTATTCAGGATTTTCATGGAAATTAATGTCTTCATTAGACCTTCAAAAGAAAGTCATCCTCACCTCCATGGTGGGGAAAGGGACCAAATCTTGAAGCAAGTGAGAGTGTAGCACTTCAAGCACTGGGCCTGAGTGACTAGGTCTAGCGCTGTACCTCACCTGCTCAAATATTTTCCATGGCTCCCCATTGCTCACAGAATAAATCCCACAGTCTTATCCTGGCACTGAAGCCCTTTGCAGACCAAGCCCCGTGTACTTTCAAGACTCTTCCTCACCTTTTACACTTTGCCTAGAAGGCCTTTTCTTCTAGTCCTGCTGGCCCAGATCCTAAGGTCATGGTTACAATATCTCTGATCTGCCAAAGCCAAGACTCTTATCCCTTCCTCACGCCCTCATCAAGTTTTGCTCTGCATTATAATTCTATATACATGAGACTTAGACATTTAACAATCACATATTGAGCACCTACTGTACGTGTGGGATTTTATTAGACTTTGGGGTCACAGCTCACAGCCTATGGAAACCAATCACCCCCTATCAGAGTGTTAATGTTACTACGGTGAGCAGGGGGCACAACGCAAGCTGTACACAGGCAGGGCTGCTCTTGTGAGAACCTTCCTCTGTCCCTCCGCCTGGATTACTCTTCTCCACATCAGCACAGCTTGCTTTCTCAGTTCCTTTGGGTCTCTGCAAATGTCACGTTTTCAGTGCCCATCCTATTATGACATCTCACCCTCTATCCCATTTACCTGGATTTATGCTATGTTCTATTTATTGTTTTGATAGCACTCATCACCATCTGACATACAAGTTACTTACTTGTTTGTATTTACAGCCTGCCTCTTTGCACTGAGATTTCATTTTCACAGAGATTTTATTTTGTTTCTTGCAGCATCTCTCCAGCAGCGAAGTTGTGTGGTCTTTGGGAAGACACGGCCTCTTTAAGCCTCAGTAGCCTCTTCTGTAACTTGGGGAAGATCAGCTGGGCCCTCGCCGGTGGCTGGCAGGTCCGCTGTGAGGATCCAACAGTGGGTCTCCAACTGCAGCGGGCATCAGACTCACTTTGAGGGCTTATTAAAATACAGGTTGCCGGCCCCACACCCAGAATTTCTGACTCAGGAGGTATGGGGTGCGTCCTGAAAATCTGCATTTGTACAGCGGTGCAGTTGGTGTTGTTGCCGCGGCGTGTGGGCCACACTTCAAGGGCCGCTGATAAGGACAGGTAAGTACAGAAGGGCTGGTAGCCACAGCGACCCGGTCTAGATGAAGGACCGGCACTAAGGGCCCCGCAGAACCTTCGTGGAGAAGAGAATGGACCCGTCCGTCCCTTAATTCAGCCCACAACTATTTCGGAAGCGGTAGTTCAGTGCCGGGGGCTCGGGGAGCGGGGTGGTCCGCGGAGCACGCCCGTCAAGTCAAGGTTCGCGCGGCTGTGGACTCGGACCCCGGCCCAGTGGTCCGGGGCCGCAGCGTGTGGAGGGGCTGGGGTCGCCGCCCCGACCTCCGTCCCCGGCAGGAAGTCCCCGGAGCCGCGACAGGGCCGCAAGCTGGCGGCGGAAAGCCTGAGGTGGGCCGAGCGCCGAAGGCCCTCAGAGCTTCCCGGGACCTGCAGCCCCCTCGGGCTCCGGGGCGGAGGCGCGGCCCCGGCCCGGCGCGCGCCCGCACACAGTAGGCGCGCCGCGCGGGCGGGCGGAAGGGGGCGGCGGCGCGCGGTATCCGGGGGCGGAGCCGGCGCGGCCTGCCGGTCGGTCGGGCACGGCGGCGATGGGCGAGGGCGGGCTGCCCCCGGCCTTCCAGCTGCTACTACGCGCCTGCGACCAGGGCGACACGGAGACGGCGCGGCGGCTGCTGGAGCCGGGGACGACGGAACCGGCCGAGCGCGGCGCGGAGCCTGAGGCGGGCGCGGAGCCGGCGGGGGCCGAGGCAGCCGGGACCGGGGCGGCGGCAGCTGGAGCGCCGGTGCCAGTGGACTGCTCCGACGAGGCAGGCAACACGGCGCTACAGTTCGCGGCGGCCGGGGGCCACGAACCGCTGGTGCGCTTCCTGCTGCGCCGCGGAGCCTCGGTCAACAGCCGCAACCACTACGGCTGGAGCGCGCTCATGCAGGCGGCCAGGTGAGGGGCCGGGGTCCCGGGAGGGGAGTGGTGCCCAGCGTGGGCCGGGACGCGGCCCCGGGGCGCGGACGGGGCTCAAGCGTCCAGAACTGCCCGGCGGCCCCCCACAGACGCCCGGGAGGTAAAGAGTCAAGGACTCGTTGGAGTTGGAATGGTAAACTTTGAGAAGTGGAAGCGCTTTTTGATGAACATGAGCTCAGAATTTTAGAAACTTTGGCCTTTCACAACAGAATCTGGAGACTGCGAATAGAATCTTAGAGACTCAGTCTTAGACGTGTTCATTCATTATTTGTTGCACCAAGGGTTCCCTAAGAACCTACCTACCCACCCTGGCTTGGCGTTGGGGATACTGTGGGACCCAGGTAGAGTCTCCACTCGGGACAGCTCACATGCCGGTGGAGGGCAGGCCAGGGGCATAACCAGGAAGGTTTGGGTGGTTCTGGGGGCTGCTGACTCTTTTGGGGAAGTGGGGGAAGGTTTCTGGTAGAAATGCTGTATACATCCACATCAGGACCTGAAGATGCTGAGAATTAACCAGAGAGGAAGACGTGAGATGTGGGAACCGTATAATGAAAGGCCCACTCAGATGCTTGGGAGCAAGAGCGGGGAGGACTGGTAGAGAGTGACATTATTACTGGGAAGGGGCTGGAAGCAGTGGGAGATGAGCCCTGCCTGTAGAGAAGGAGGCAGGTGCCAGGGGGCTGAGAAAGGCTAATTACCCTAGGGCACTGGGGAGTCGTGGAAAGTTCAAGGCATGGTGAGTGACAGGATCAGATTTATGTTTTGGAAAATTAACTGAAGTGTGAGAATGTGGAGGGGAAGGCTGTTAGGAGTGAATTCCAGCAGTCTGGGTAAGAGGTATTGGTGGCCTGGACCAGAATGGAGATAGTGGAGGGAGGGCAGAGAGGCGATTTTGAGGTATATTCAAGGAGTAGATCAGCAGGACTTGGTGATGGGCTGGCCGCTGGTGAGGGAGAGGGAGACAGCAAGGATGGCATGTATATACCTGGCTTGGATGACAGGGAATGGTGGCAGCAAATGCACTGAGCTAGAGAACATGGAAAGTCAGATTTAGGAATGAGCCTGGCCTCCAGGCACACAGCAGGTGGGGGTCTTTGTGGAGGACGCCCAAGAAGAAGCATCCAGCAAGGAGCTGGAGGTGGGAGTCTGGAGGGCAAAGGAAGATCTGGGCCTAAGGAGACAGGCAGTTAGCATGTAGACGACAACTGGAACTTAGGGATAGAAGGAATTGTCCAAAGTGAATGTATAATGTAAAAATGATACTGAATAATGGTAGCTGGCTATACCAATTAGCACTGCTGCAAGACAACCACCGTAGACCTGGTGGCCTTATTAAAGCAACAACCATTTATTTAGCGCACAGTTTTTCCGTTCTAGTCTCATCTGGCTTCCTCGTACATGTGTGGTCAGCACCATACTCACGTCTGTGTACATGAGCTAGGTGTCCTTGCTTCTGAGGGCTGGCTAGATGGCCACTGTGGCCACAGGGATGACTGCACTACTTCTCTTTCATCATCCAACAGGCTAGCCTGGGCCCATTCATGGCTCAGCAGTGGGATCCCTAGGATTGGAAGCATATTCATCACTTCTGTCCCATTGTGTTGGCCAAAGCAAGTCACAAGGCCAGTCCAGATTCAAAGAGTGAGATACAGACTCTACCCCTTGATGGGGAGGTGTTGCAAAGTCTCAGGGCCCGGATACAGAGAGGGGAATAAGTGCTATCGTTTTTGCAGATTATCTACTACATTAATATTAATTGAACACCTATATGCAAGCCCTAGTCTAAGAGCTTTGCACAAGTTAACCCATTTTACCTTCATGACAGTCCTATGCACTAGGCATTATTACCACCATTTTACAGAAAAGGAAACTCTAGAGGGCAGAACCCACTGGCATTTCAAGATTAGGTAGCAAAAGGAATTTAGTTGGGGATTTAGGAAAGATTTCAAGTCCTAGCAACAGTGTCAACTGCAGAGAGGGAAAGGGAAGACAAGGATTGATTTAGCAGCAGCAGGTTAGCGGGTTAGAAGCTTGGGCAGGAGAGGTCTGTGGATGATGAGTGTCCAGGCAGGATTGCAGTGGTGGAGGGGTGAGTGGGATTTGAACACACGAAGTGCAGACAGCCCTTTCACTGAACTTGACTCTGGGGGAAGGAGGATGCTTGCTCAGGGTCTAAAGAGGGTTTTTAGGGTGGGAGAGATTTGAGCAGTCTTACCTGCTGATGCGATAATAGGGAGTCTTCAGGTAAGAAGGGGAGAGGAGTGCTCCACTCTACGGTGAGTTAACATTGTTCTTTATAGAAAAATATATTCTGAATTCCAGTCTTTTTTTTTAAAGAAGGTATATAATTAAAGCAAGGTTATAATAACCTTTAAGGGCATTTTAAATGTAAGTTTTGAATAGATAATATATTCATAAGGTTCAGACATAAAACTACATACACACACGAACATATAAGGGTATACAGTGAAGTCTCTCACCCTGTCCATCATCTGCTTAGGCCCCACCCATTCCTCGGTTTCTTGCATAACCTTCCAGAGTTTACACCAGAATTTCTCTACCTTGGTACCACTGACATTTTGGACAAGATCATTCTTTTTTGTAGGATGTTTGGCAACATCCTTGGTCTCTCCTCATTAGATGCCAGGAACCTCCCTGCTCCCTAGTCACGATAATCAAAAATTTCCCCAGACATTGCCACATGTCCCCTGGAGGGACACAGCAACCCCCAGTTGAAAGCCACTGCTTTACACATATATGAGCATGTCTGATGGTTGATTTTCTCTTCATCCCCCTTGTTACATACTACACACTGTTCTCTACCTCGCTTTTTTCACTTAATGTTCTTTGGCAATCTTTCAGTATTTTTTCAGTAGTCTCACAGTGTTTCATTGTATGATAATTTATTTAACCATTAGCCTGTTGATGGTCATTTAGGTTGTTTCCAGTTACTTACTGTTATAGTCATGCCCTAATCTGTGCATATATGTCTGATACGTATGTCAGTTTACACCTGAGGAAGTATATCCATAGGCAATTCCCTAACAAGGGAATACAGGCCGTTTGTAATTTAGGTATTGCCAAACTGTTCTCCATATAAGTGTATTCACTTCCTGTGGCTGCTGTAACAAATTACCACCAATTTAGTGGTTAAAAACAACACAATTTATTATCTTATAATTCCAGAGATCAGAAGTATGAAATGGACCTCACTGGGCTGAAATGAAGGTGCTGGCAGGGCTGTAGTTCTTCTAAAGGCTCTAGAAGAAAATTCGTTTCCTTGCCTTTTCTGGCTGTGAGAGGCTGCCCACATTCCTTGGCTCTTGGTCGCCTTCCATCTTCAAAGCCAGCAGCAATCACATCACTCCCACCTCTGACTCTGAGCCTTCCTCATCACATCTTCTCTGACTCTAACCTTTCCTCTTTCCTTGTCCACATTTAAAGCACCCTTGTGATTGCTTTGGACCCACCTGGATAATCTAGGCCTGTGGTCCTCAACCACTAGGCCGTGGACCAGTACCAGTCCATGGCCTGTTAGGAACTGGGCTGCACAGGAGGAGGTGAGTGGCCAGTGAGCAAGAGAAGCTTCATCTGTATTTACAGCTGCTCCCCATCGTGCCCATCACGCATAAGCTCCGCCTCCTGTCAGATGAGTGGCAGCATTAGATTCTCATAGGAGCGCGAACCCTACTGTAAACCATGCACATGAGGGATCTAGGTTGTGCGCTCCTTGTGAGAATCTAATGCCTGAAGATTGAGGTGGAGCTGAGGCAGTGATGCTAGCACTGGGGAGCGGCTGCAAATACAGATTATCATTAGCAGAGAGTTTTGACTATACAATAAATGTAATGACCTCAAATCATCCTGAAGCCATCCCTCCCCCGCAGGTCTGTGGAAAACTTTTCTTTCATGAAACCTGTCCCTGTTGCCAAAAAGGCTGGGGCCTGGTAAGCCCTGGGGTACTTAGTGAGGTTTGTGACTGCAGCACTGGCATGCCTCAGAGGGTCCCAAAGACCCCTGATCACCAGTGTTTGCCTTTAACCAAGTTTTGCAGGATGTTCAAAGTCATCTCCTGATAAATTACAACTGTTTAATTTGTTAACCTTGATGGGGCAGGAGACTCAGAATTAACCTAACCCCTGATTGTTAACTAATGACAATTTAACATTTTTAGAGGACTTTCCTTCTTCTCTACAATTTGGTATTGTAAATAGAGCTTAGATTTGTGGTCCAAGTGTCCTGACTTTGTCACTTTCAAATCGAGAGGCTTTGTGGACTGATTATGTTCCTCTTTATTCCTCAGTTTACCTTACAGATGCTATTCTGGGGGCATAAGGGTGATGTACTCTCTTATTTATTTCTATGAGAATGGGGTAGAATATGACAATCCTATGAGAGGATTAGAATTCACTCTTGTCCTTTAGCTGAGCCTAGGCAGGGCCTGGGCACTTTAAAATGTTTTGTTTGACAAATGTTTGACAGCAGGTACTCAGGTTCTGGCTCTGCCCATGTTGAGTTGTCCTTGAGCTTTCCACTGCCTAATCCATTTCAGAAGCTCAAGTTGAGGAATACTGTGTGTGGGAGACTTGCTGAAGGATGTGTGGTGTCTGTCCCTCAGATCAGAATGGGCGAATGCATGGCCCCTGTGTCAGCACTCCCCCGGCTCCTGCGCTCCCTTCCTGAATCTGCATATGCCTCAGAATCCTCCTCAAACCGTGCTCCTGGCAGCCACAACGTTCGGTCTCAGTGAGTGTTGGTTTATCATCCCAGCTCTTTGTTCCAAAGCTTATCCCTGGATCAGGCCAGGCCATCAGAGGCCCTGAGCCTTTGGTCTCTTGTGTATGTTTTAGTATCAGAATTGGTTACACCGATGCTTTTTCCTATTCTTAAAATAACAGATAACCTTTATTGAGCACTTTGTGTCAAGCACTGTGCTATGTGCTTTAAATGAATTAACTCATTCAATCAACACAAAACCTTAGGAGGTAGGTAATATTGTCATCTTAATTTTACAGGTGAGGAATCAAGGCACAGAGAAGTTAGGTAACTTGCCCAAAGCCACACAGCTAGTAAGTGGCAGGGAGTCAGATTCACACCCAGGCAAATGGTTCCAGAGCCTGATAGCTTCACTCTTGGTGTTGGCAGCAAGGAAGTGACTTGCCAAATTTGCCAGCAACTTCTGTCCAAGGGACATGGTTGCATGGTGTTTACTTTGGCTCTGACTTCACCCTTGGTCTCTTTACCTTCCTTCCCTGCCCTTCATTATTCCACCTGCCAGGGGGGCAGAGCTGGATTCAGCCCACCAGTGCTTTGAGTGGGGGATGTGCCAGCTCTTTAAATACAGGTGTTAATTGCTGAAATTAATTGGTAATCATAGCACCTATTCAGAAAGCCCTAGCATCCCCATCTCCAGTAATTACCTATTAGAAACTTAGCATCCACAAAATTATCCCAGCCTTGCGGAATCCTTTTATATTTTCAGCATACTTGAATGCTCTCTTGGGCTATCTGAATTCAGAAAACATTCCAAATTTCAGTGTTTTTGTTCTAATTTAGCCCATTTCTTCCACTGTAAAAATTGGATGTACCAAAAGAGCTGAGATTTGGAGTTCTAGGGTCCAGGGTCATGTTTCGACTGTCAAATTCAAATTGAGAGGCTTTGGACTGATTGCTTTTTACTCTAATCTTCAGTTTCCTCATCTGTGAAATGGGAATTAATGAGTTTATCTCAGGGTTTATTAAGATCAAATGAGATAAAAATGTGACAGCACCTTGTAATCTGCTGTTAGGGATTGTGCTAGATTTAATCTCATGCCTGATAACTAAACAGTGTAATCTTTTTAAAATCTCTGCTCCCGTGAGGATACACTGGTTCTTCAGTCATTTCTGCCTCCTGTCTCTGGACCTTGCCCTACATGGTTATGCCATTTATGCTTTCACTTACCCACTTGTTCCTTTGATGGAATTTACTAAGCTCCAATATGTGTCAGCCACTATGTTAGGGGATAGGGACACAAGAATGTGTGAAACCCCATCCTGTCCTTGGAGCACCCAAGGTCAAGTGGGAGACAGTCAATTATAGGAGAGCTCAGATATCACTAGAGGAGACCGCAGAACTGTGGGTGCTCAGGAGAGGGGCGCCTGACCTAGCCTGGAGGGTGGTCCGGAAGCTGCCCGAGCTGAATCATAAAGCAGAACAAGGGGTGTGCTGAGTAGATGAGGACAGGAGGGTGCTCTAGTAGGGGGTGCAGGATGGCAAAGGTGGGAGGGGGGCTCTAACGGGAGAGTATGGCACAAGGGCATGGCATGGGAGTGGGGAAGAAGTGAGGTTGGCCATGGGAAGCTGGGGAGTCAGATTTAGGGTTTGGGAATATTGTTTGGGGGCTGCATGGAGGGTGGGCAGGCGGGAACAAGACTGGAGGCAGAGGTACAGCTTTCTGCATTTGAGTTGATTTCAGTTTGACTTGCCCTCTCTCTGCTCTGGGAGAGGAGGCCCAGAAGCCCAGCCCCCTGAGCTGATGGAGGTAGTTCACCAGGCTCTCACTCTGCGGGCTGAGGCCACCCGGTGCTGTTAAGGTTCACGTCCCAGCAGGTATTTGTAAGTTCAGCTGGACGGAGCCTCAAAACAGAGTTCAGCACTGGCCCTGCCTCCGCGGGGACGAGGGAGGCCCTGGGTTTAGATGAGGTACAAAACCTGCTCCCAGGAAGGAGGGCTGAGCGAGGGGAAACTGAGAAAGCCGCCTCACAGACGCAGACACAGCAGCGACATTGCAGTTTCACAAACCTGGCGCAGGCAGCCCCTCTCTGGTCATTGCTTCCTTGTTGGTCCAGGGCCGCTTCCAGCTCTGAGTCCACCAGAAACACAGCAAAACAGAACTTTTCTTCCCTCTTCTGTTGAAAGAAGGAAGAGATTTTGCTGGGAAGAGGCACCTGTTTTCCACTTCCTGGTATCAGAGAGTTGGTGGGCGCATGTCTGCCTCCCCAGGGGCCTTAGCTCAAACTTCACCCGGGAGGGTCTGGCCCAGGCTGAGCGCTCAGCTGCCTGCAGCGAACGTTCCTGCCAGCAGGTGGCAGCAGGCCTCTGCCGAGGTGCCCGGCCTGTCTCCGCTGACCACAGCCATGCCACACCTCTTGGCATGGGGCGGGGTGTGTTTGGCGCTGGGGAGAGTAGAAATGAATCAGACATTCCCCCATGATTCCATGAGGGAATCAGAGCGCAGGCAGAAAGTCAGATTCCCAGGCTATAAACTCTGAGATGTGAGAGGCAGGATGGTGTAGGGGATAAAGTGAGGGCAACAGGACTCAGACAGACCTGGCTCTGACCCCGACACCGCCCCTTGCCAGCCAGGTTACCTTGGCACACCGTGTAAGGTAAGTTGAGCAACAAGTATCATGTAATACCTAACATTGATGTGGTGCTTCCTTTGGTCAGCACAGATCCAGGTGCTTTATATGCATTGACTCATTTCATCATCCTCAACAATCCTCGAAGTAGGTACAATTACACCCCCATTTTACAGATCGGGAAATGAAGGCACAAAGAAGGTGAAATTCTTTCTCAAGGTCCTGCAACTAGTGGATGGGAAAGCTGGATTCAAACCTAGGCAGGGCAGTTGCTCACCTTCGTCATGGTGCATCTTCAGGGCTGATTACAGTGCCCGACACCAGAATAAGGCCTTGTATTATGAGCAGCTGTTATGACTTTAATCATTCATGAGATGAGGATGGCATAAGCTGTGTCCTCATCGGTGCTCCATGTTTAGTGTCACTCATTCTCCATCTTCCCGGCAGGTTTGGGCACGTGAATGTGGCACACCTCCTTTTGGATCACGGGGCCGATGTCAATGCCCAGAACCGGCTGGGGGCCAGTGTGCTCACTGTGGCCTCCCGGGGTGGCCATCTGGGTGTGGTGAAACTGCTCCTGGAAGCTGGGGCCTTCGTGGACCATCACAACCACTTGGGCGAGCTGCCGGTGATGGGGAGCAGCAGGGATGAGCCACTGGACATCACAGCCCTGATGGCCGCCACCCAGCATGGGCATGAGGCCGTGGTGCGCCTGCTGATGGAGTGGGGTGCGGACCCCAACTACGCAGCCAGGACTGTGGGCTGGAGCCCGCTGATGCTGGCCGCGCTCACTGGGAGGCTCGGTGTGGCCCAGCTGCTGGTGGAGAAGGGAGCCAGCGCCGACCACCTCAGTGTGCTGGAGAAGACTGCCTTCGAGGTCGCGCTTGACCACAAGCACAGGGACCTCGTAGACTACCTGGACCCACTGACCACTGTCAGGCCCAAAACAGGTCAGGCTGCATCCCCCACCCGCCGCATGGCTTCACAGAGGCCCCCAAATTGTGTTTACGTGGCTGAAGCTGAGGATTGCCCAACAGGAAGGGCACGTGGAAATCGGAGTCCAGCCCTGCAGAATAGTGAGACTTAGGACATGACATGCTTAAGAATCACATGGGGGTGCCTATTACATGCAGGTTCATGGCCCACCCTCTAGAGAGGCTGATGTCGTAGCTTTGGGGAAGAGCCTGGAAACCTGCATAGCAAGGCCACTCTCCCTAACCAGATCGTTTTGGTGCAGGTGGTTCTAGGATCCTTCTAGAACAAGGGCCAGCAAACTTTTTCTGGAAAGGGCCAGATAGTAAATATTTTAGGCTTTGTGGGCTATATGGTCTCTGTTGGAACTACATACTCAATTCTGCTAGAGTGAAAGCAGCCCTGCACAATATGCAAATGAGTGGTTGTGCTGTGTTCCAATAAATTATAGTTACAAAAACAGGCAGCAGGGAGGACTCGACCTTTGGGCTGTAGTTTGCCAACCCCTGTTCTAGAACAATGTGCCTAATGTGTTCTGCCAATGATCAGTCCCCAAAGATGAATTCACATAAAATTTGTGAAAATTAGTCCTCTTTTAAGTTTCATTATTTTAAAAACACTCGTCAGTGTGTCCTGTATTTTTTTTTTCTTTTTGCCATCTTTGTGGCATTTAAAGGGTTCTCTAAACAATCTTATCAGATCTGCCACAGGACATACTGCGTTTCAAAAGCTGTGGTTCATTGAGCAGTAGGACCACAACACACAGCCTCAGACCCTCTATCCGTAATGGGTCTGACGTCAGCGACCGGACTGAGGCAGCCTGGGGTGTAACAACGGGCTGCAGTGTAAGCATCTAGGGCTGAAACGGAAAGAATTGAAGAAAATGTCTTCAGAAAAATTAGCCAGAAGGACCTGAAAGAGTGAAGTTTGATACCATCCAAAGAATATGCAATAGTCCCATCAATCAAAAGATGCTGAAAATTTGGTAAATGCTTATTAGAAATGCACCATTCAATCAGACCAAGTCTGAAATAGATATGTTTTAAAAGCCTGGCCAGGTGCAGTGGCTCACACCTGTAATCCTAGCACTTTGAGAGGCCAAAGTGGGAGGATCACATGAGGCCAGGAGTTTGAGACCATCCTGGGCAACATAGTGAGACCCCATCTCAAAAAAAAACAAAAATTAGCCATGAGTGGTGGTGTGCACCTGTTGTCCCAGCTACTTGGGAGGCTGAGGCAGGAGGATCACTTGAGCCCAAGAGTTGGAGGCTGCAGTGAGCTGTGATCATGCCATTGTAGCCTGGGTGACAGAGCAAGACCCTGTCTCCAAAAAAAAAAAAAAAAAAAGCCTTTAATGACAGATGGCAAAAAAAAATGAGGAGGACACCAAACAGAAAGGAAAAAGAAGTGTGAATTGAAGTCTCAATAGGAAGTTGAGGCAAAATTAACATAAACAGACAGTTTATTCAGGCCAGACTTGAGGATGGCAACGCGGGAGCACAGGTTCAAGTTGCCCTGAATATACACTCTGACTAGCAGCAGTTACAAGTAGGTTTTTAAAGGCAAAAAAGGGGTACAGGGTGTGGGCTTATACAGAGTTGTTTGTCAGGAATTCTCATTGGTTTACAAAAATAACATTGATTAGTGATTGGCTATACATTATTAAGCTATAGGGTGTGGGCTATAGTGTCAGGTGCAGCATTATTAGGTAATTTATAGCTACTTATGGCAATAGCAAGCAATTTTAAGAGATGAATACGTAGCTCATAAGGGGTAGTAGGATGTGATTGCTGTCTCACTTTAATGTCTCTCTGGATCTGATGATTTAAAAGGCCTCACATTTCTCAGATAAAATTTCTTTTCTTTTCTCAGAAGTGAAGTTTAGGAAGATCTGTCTGAAGCCAAGAGACCTCTTAACCTTGTACATATTGGGAAACTGAGGCCCAGAGAGGGGGCAAAGCTGGTCAGAGGTCACACACCCATTGGAAGCTGTGTGGGTGACATCCAGGAGGCTGGGATCCCATGGGAAGAGCACCTTGAGGTGACCGCCCAATGGCAGCACTTGCAGGGCTCCAGGAGCCGGGCCAGCCTGGGACTCTTGGGAGCCTCTGCCTTGTCCCTGAAATGGATGTGGTGACGCCTACTGCAAGGTGGTCATTAGCAGAAGCTATGTTGTCCTCTGGTGTGTGCGGCACTGAACCCAGGGCCAGAACACAGCGGCAGAGTGTTAGGTCCTCAGAAAAGGTCACAGAAATTAGGGCTCCAGTCTCCAAGGACAGGGCTTTGTACTCGGCACCAGGCTGTCGCTGTCCTTTAAAGGTTTTGGTTGGCTTGTTTCTGTGGCCGTGGTAGGGAAGGGATCTTTGCTGAATCTTCCTTCTCCCCCACAGGGACCCTCTGAGCCAGGCGTTCACCCATTTTGCAGGTGAGGGAGCTCAGGCTCAGAGTGGATACTTCAGAGTGCGGCGCCACCTGTGACCATCACGTGGTGCCTCTTCTGCTACCTGCGCTTCTTCCTCAGCTTCCCCTCGGTCTCTGAGTCTTTGTCCTCTTTCATAATCATGATAAAGACTATTCACTTGTAAGGGTTTTGTGAGAAATAGTAAGATCGTGCCTATAAAACGTTTGTCCCAGTGCCTGCCACATAGACAGCATCCAGTAAATGGAAATTATTATCACATGTTTCTGTTGATCATATATTCAGTTATTTTACAAATATTTACTTAGTGCCTACTATGAACCAGGCACCATTCTAGGCACCTGGGATGCATCTGTGAACAAAGGAGACCAAATCCCTGCCCTTGAGGGCCGGGCTGTGGCCTCTATAGGGGGACACCGGCCATAAAGGGGGAAGAAACATACTAAGTAAATTAATTATACAGTAAGGTAGGTGGTAAATGCCACGGGGTTAAAAACAAACAAAAACAAGGGCAAGGTGAAGGGATTAGGTGTGGCAGCGTTGGGCAGTGCAGGCTGCCGTACGAAATAGGGCACTGGGGCGGCCTCCTGAGAAGGCGGGATCACAGCAGACCCGTGTGCAGGCCCCGTGGGCTCCCCGGGACAGCAGTATGGCAAAGGCTGTACTGTTAATAGTGACAGAGATTATTAATAAATAATAATAGTCGCTAGCTCTTCCTGTGAGATGCTGGGAAACCCACAGCCCCACCAGGGCCTTGGAGGTGCCCTGGTCCCTCCCTTGCATTAACAGCAGGACAGGGTTCTCTCGATGCTGTAACTGTCGTTATGAGAACCCCCCACTCCCCACCGTGGTTGTGGTGGGAGGTCAGAGCAGGTTTCTTCTTCTTGGCGTGGGGCAGGGTCCCTGGGGCTGCTCTGATATACAAGAGAAACTTGAAAGCCAGAGTGAGAAAGGGTCCAGCCAAGGTCACTTGGCGTGAGGGCCTAGCTGTCCCAGCCTCCTGGGGTCAGGCTAGGCTGCCAGTGATTAACTTGTACCAGATGGTTGCTTAGCAGTCAACCCTAAGACCAGGTGACACTCTTTTCTGTCACAGGGTCTTGGCATGAGAAGACCCTGGCCCACAGCAAATTTGGCTCTTAAATACTGAAAGGAACATGAAATATTGTTTTTAAACTGCAGTGCAGAATTTTTTCTTTTCTTTTCTTTTTTTTTTTTTTAAAGAGACAGAATCTCATGCTCACCCAGGCTAGAGAATAGTGGGCTCGATCATAGCTCACTGTAACCTTGAACCCCTGGGTGCAAATGGTCCTCCCACCTCAGTCTCCCAAGTAGCTAGGATTATAGGCATGTACCACCATGCTCTGGCTAATTTTTAAAAATTTTTTTGTAGAGATGGGGTCTCACTCTGTTGCCCAGGCTGGTCTTGAACTCCTGGCCTTGAAATCCTCCCACTTTAGCCTCCTAAAGTGCTAGGATTACAGGACTGAGCCACTGTGCCTGGCCCAGGACCATTTCTTGGTAGTATTTCACAGGCAGAATGAGACGCCTGGTTCCATGGCAGTGTTTGTATTTCTCATTAAGAGTTCTGGAATTAAGTAGCTAACCTTGCTCGGGTGGCTGCCAGTTGCTAGTAAAGAAAAGAATTGCTCTTTGGATGGAGTCTTAACATTTCTGAAGCATTTTCCCACTTTTATATATATTATCATGTGATACCTGCAGCAACCAGGTGGGCTGGATTCTACTCCCGCATTAGTGGTGAGGAGACAGCTCTCTCTAGAAGTGTGTGCTCAAGTTCAGATGCACCGACTCCACACTTCGTGCTGCTGGCCTGGATGTGGATCCTTCCTGTTGCCCAAGAGGGCTGATCTGGGCCAAAGTCAGCCCAGAGTCACAGGTGGCCTCTGGCAGCTGCTCCATCCCTCGGGGTCAGTTAAAGGCTATAGGAAGACCTGCATTCAGCAGCCCCACAAGCAGACTGGCCATGAAGATGTCTGCTTTCTGATGGGAACAGGGTACCTGGGGGCCCGAGCTTGTAGGAGGATGTGGGATGAGCACATGAGAGAGGGGCAGGCACTGGGCAGGTGCAGCAAGGCTCAGCTACGCGGAAGGCCCGGGGGTCCTGCATGAAGACATCCAGGTGAACAGCTGTGTCTGCAGGTCTGGAGCAGGGAGCAGTTCAGACTGCTCATTTGGGAAGGAAGGCAGACATTCACGTTGGCTCTGCTGCCGCCTGCGGCTGTGACCTTCCTTTGGGCTCAGTTGCTCAGTATTTCAGGACTGTTCTGCTTTGGAATTATGGTTGTACATGTAGTTTTTAGATGAAAAACATCGTTGTTTCTTTTTAAAATATCCATAGGAATCCAGATTTTTCCAAGACCATGCTTTTCAATGTATCTAAGAAAGGACACCCCAAAGTTTGGAATACCTAAAAATGATCGCTTTGTGTGTGTGGGATCAGGGCAGTGGTCTGCTGCTCATATGTGTGTTTTGGCCAGATGACCTGCCGAGATCTGTGTCCGAGGGGATTTTAGACATTTTTTGATAATAAACCTTCCAGAGGGCTGCTGGATTCCCCATTACACAGGTCTCCAATTAAATTGCTTCTGAAAAGTAGATCCTTCTTAAAGCTGGGCTGTGTTATTACACCCTTGTGAGTTTTCTGTTATATTAAACCTTTTTGTGGTTAACTTTTAAAATCTTTGTTTACTCAGATGAGGAGAAAAGACGACCTGATATTTTCCACGCATTGAAAATGGGTAAGTGCTTTAGAAAATCTTTTTGGATATTTAAGAATACAGGGCCACATTCTGCCAACCTATCATTTGTAGTCCTTTCCAAGGCCACCCAGAGTATTTGAGAAAGAAACAGGCATTTGGGTGTTTAGTGGGCCAGTGTTTACTATTGACCTTGGCACACAGGTTCGGGACTGTCCTCCCAGGCCCCACCCCACCTCCAGCCAAACGCTGTGGCTGTGCCCTAACTTTCCCTACCTCTGAAATGCCTCTCTGCATGCCCACCCACTCCAGTCTCTTTGTGACAAATAGACCCCACCTCCAGGAAGCCCTCCCTGATCTTCAGCCCCCAGCGAGACCTGATTGCTCCTTCTACATGCTCATTGCCCTCGTATGTCTCCTTCATCTGTTCTCTTAAGACACTAACACTTCTGTCTTTTAGTAAACACTTCTATCCATTTGTGTGCTCGTCTCTGTCCTCACAGACTAGGGACTTGAGAGCGGGAGCTGTCTCTGACCCAGCTTAGCAGTCCCTGCGATGCCAGCAGCCCACTGCAGAGCAGGGTCAGCGCACGTTTGTTACGTGAGCCAACTGGATCAATAAGCCTGTGGTGCCAGGCCCGTGGATCATCCGGACTCCTGCTTATGTTGGCAGGAAACTTCCAGCTGGTCAAAGAGATTGCCGATGAAGACCCCAACCACGTGAACCTGGTCAACGGGGACGGCGCGACCCCCCTGATGCTGGCAGCAGTCATGGGGCAGCTGCCTCTGGTGCAGCTGCTGGTGGAGAGGCACGCCGACGTTGACAAGCAGGACAGTGTGCACGGCTGGACGGCCCTCATGCAGGCCACCTACCACGGGTCAGTGCCAGCTGCGCCCCTCAGTGACGAGGCTAAACCCGGGCTCTGGCCTCAGATGGGGCTTTCTGATCTGATGGGTTTTCTGGTCCTGAGATGCTACATATAAACACCAGGGCTGTGAAGACATTGAGACATGCAAAAAAGATTAGTGACACAGGCTTCTTTCATCCTGCCCCTTCTATATGCAGATTTCCTATTGCCCCATGACAGAATTTCACAGTGACCATGAAAAACATGCAGCAGGAGCATTTTATGCAGAAGGATAAGTTTCATGGTTGGTTCCAGTTGAGCAGAGTGATTGGTTCATTTGGAGTTTTCACACTGAGATACAGTGAGCTCTTTAGGTCGCCCCTGTGCGAAAGGAGCATCGGAGATGGCTTCTCGTGAGGTTGGTGGTGAGATGCGTCCTCACCCTCTCCTTTTGAATGGGCCTCAGCGTGTCCTGGGTGCTTAGGAATCCCTTCTCATCTGATCGTCCTAGAAGGGTGGGGCTTTCACCGTCCTGGAGGCCTCCTCTTTGGGGTGGGCACCGTGTAGCTACTGAGTGGTCTGACTCCACATTACGGGCTCTTCCTTTGCCGTGTTTCAGGTGATCATATCTCTTTCTTGCATCCTCTGAAAGCAGTTTGTTTTCCTATTTCATGAGTCTCAAACTTCCATCTCAAGCGTCTTGTGTATGCGGCTTTCCCAGGGGAGAGGCCCTGATTTAGAGTGGGAGTAGCGGGGTCCAAGGTGGGCCAGCGGAGGGGAGTTGGTGGCCAGGTGTTTTTTGGGAAGAGCCCTACGTTTTCATTTTGTTTATGGAAGGAACATTTAGACTGTGATTTAAATCACGTTTGCTTCTCGCCTGCCCAAGGGGTAGGGAGTGGTGGAGTGTGAGTCTGTTTGCAATTTTCCCCGCCCCTCTTAAATGCTCAGAGACTGTAGATAATGTTGTCAGTCTTGTTGCCCAGGAGCAAAGCCATGCTTTTGCTTTCAGCGAGTGTAACTCTGGCATTTTCTTTTCTCCCCAGGAATAAGGAAATTGTCAAGTACCTGCTAAACCAAGGGGCTGACGTCACCCTTCGTGCAAAAAATGGGTACACGGCCTTTGACCTAGTGATGCTGCTGAATGATCCCGGTGGGTGATTCCAAGAAAAGGGTTGCAAATGCACCCATCCTCTCTCTGGTTGAGAATCAGGATAACCACCTCCTCTGTGAACTGTTTTAAGCACTTGGTTATTCATGGGGGAAAGCCAGTCTCAAGTGTCAAGAGCTCACCACGTGACCTTAGGCAAGTCACTGCCCTCCCAGTGAAGCACTGGGCTTGGACTGGGTAGTCCCTGAGGCTTCCTCCAGCACCAGCCTCCTAGGAGTCCCCAGAGAGGGAAGGCACACAGGCACATGTCTGGCTTCGCGGTCCACACAAATCCTGGAATGGTATCTGTGCTTTGCAGTCAGAAACCCTGAATGACTCAGGAGGAAACACATACAGGCCCTTGACAAGCAGAATGGGAGATGGAGTGGTGACCGCACCCCCGCCACCCCCAGCTTAATTGTATAGGTGGAGGCTGCAGGATCAAGGGTGGTGCTGTGGCCCTTATTAGCCCCACCTCTCTTGGTCCCCAGCTGGCACCTGCTGTTTCCCTTTGGCTATGACAGGGCCTCTGCTAGGGTCATCTTGGCTCCTTTCCCCGTGGCCCAACAGACATATTTTCAGGTAAAACGCTGCCTTTTGTGTCCATAGACACGGAACTTGTTCGACTGCTGGCATCTGTCTGCATGCAGGTGAATAAAGACAAAGGCCGGCTCAGCCACCAGCCGCCCCCGCCCCTCTCGAAGGTCCGACAGCCCTGGAGCATCCCAGTGCTGCCCGATGACAAGGGCGGGCTGAAGGTTTGCCTTTCCTGTCTTAACGGGGTTCAGAGGGCCAAGGGGGTGGGGAACCTGCTTCCTGTTCACCCAGGCTGGTTCAGGCTGGGGGCCAGTAGGGCTGGCACGTGAGTACTAGGAGATGATGGGGACAAGGCAGCGGTGGCTGCTTTGTAAGAATGTGGGTTCCTTTTGCCAGATCTCCCATTTTTTTTCAGGTAAATCCAGAAATCCGGATTTTGGTGTGGAATCTCTATTTATAAGTGTAGGGAATTAAAAACAAATTCTGCATGCTGTAGCACTGAGCTGGTCAAACCAAACACATCTCTTCCCAGGGAATCTGTTTGCAGCCTCTGCTTTACAGCGTGCCGGATGTTTGTTGATTGCACCGGGGTCTCCTGGTGGTCCACAGGCCCCGCCAGCTTCCTGGAAACACTAAAAACAAGCTCTGGTTGCCGATTCTAACTGCGAGCTGAGACTTTGTGTTTGTATTTCTCATCTTCCACATCCTGCTCTACTTGTTTGAGTTCAAACTTATTCCCAAGAAAACAAAACAAGACGCTGGCATTGTCTGCTGACCTCCCCATTCTGCACGGGGCGGCAGCACCTTCTGAGGTTTGCAGACTTGGCATTCCTTTCATGGCCGTTGCTTGCTCAAGCCTCTGGGTCCTTTCTCACAGTATTGTTCACACAGCTCCCTTCATTCTGCTCTTACTGCTGTCTCCGCAGGCCAAGCCCTCACAGACTTCCCCTCGTGGCTCTGCAGTAACCTCCGAGAGGTCGTGGTTTATAAGGATCCCCCAGGGGCAGCACCTGTCCTCTCTCTAGGTGGGGAGGGATCAGCTACAGGAGCAGATGGCCCAGACCTTGGTATAGACACCTGGACAACATGACACTTCTCATGTTGTCACTGGAGTGGGAGGAAGGAAGTTATGGTAGACGTTAAGGAGTTTGGAGCTGCCTCTGTGTCCATCTGTCTGTCCCTGTCTCACTGTAAGACCTCAAATAAGTTAGCACTCCTTATCTGGGTCTCTGTTTCTCAATCTGTGCAATGAGGAGATTGATTAGAGGAGGGACAGCAAATAGAGTTCAGTGCCACCTTCAGTCTATTGGAAATGACTACTGGAGGGCCAGGTCAGGAAGGATTTAGTGAGCACCCATGGCTTATTGGGAACAGGTGCTGTGGTCGATTGGTAATGCCTGCCTGGGGCCAAGGCAAGGGGAGGACAGGCAGGTGTGAAGTATATTCACCATCCCTGGACCAGGCAGGTCCTGGAGTGTGACCTCTGCTCTGTGTTCCCTTGGCAGTCCTGGTGGAACCGAATGTCCAATCGTTTCCGAAAGCTCAAACTGATGCAGACGCTGCCCCGCGGGCTGTCTAGCAACCAGCCTTTGCCTTTCTTTGATGAGCCTGCTCTGGACTCCACAATGAGGGCAGCCCCCCAGGACAAGACAAGCCGCTCTGGGCTCCCCGATGCAGCCCACATGACCAAAGACAATGGTAAGAAAAGGCTGCTTGTGTGGTAGAATTTCCAGAATGGTATGAATCTTAGAAAACCAACTCTGCCCTCTGTCCTACCTGCTGGGCTGATGTCAGGGGCGAGATGATGTTGGAACGTGATACTGAAGCAGAGTGGTCTGCTGGAGAGGAGATGTAGGCAAGAACATACCTGCGCTGGAAGTGATGGGATGGGGAGGCACTGGCCAGGGGCAAGGGCCCAGGTTCCTGTGCCACACTCCTTGCCAAGGGACCCCAGGCCAGCCAATGCCTCTCTGTTGCCTTTGACAGGTTTTCCCCACATGTCAAATGTGATTGGTCTGTGGCACTAAAAGGACCTTGAAAATAGAATGAGTTACCTGGGGTGGGGGGCACAGGTACTGAGCTCCCCACCACTAGAGGTATTCAATAGATTGGATAACTTTGCCAGTTTGCTGGAGGAGATTCCTATACTGATTGGAAAATTGATTAGATAAGATCCTTCTAGCAGTCAGATTCCCCGTATCTGGATGAGCTCCTCTGGCACCACTCTCTGAGACAGACTATCGAGCTGGGTGCAGCACTGTCTGACCCAGCACGGCAGTGGTTTATGGAAAAGCTGAAAACACACTCTGAGCTACCTTTTAAATGATTTCTTTCTATTAAAATATTGAATACCAATTATTATTAAATATTTAATCACCCAGGGGAGTTGGTTTTCCAGGATGAAGGCTGCCCTAGTCACTCATCCTCATGTCATGGACACGCTGGGCGTGGGGGGTTCATTTCAGGAAAATTCCATTTGTCTCTCAGGTCCTGGGAGCACGAGAGGAGAAAAGGAGGATGCGTTATTGACAACCATGGTGAGTTGTGGGGCTTTTCTAAGAGCATTGTAGGTCCCTGCCAATCAGTTGATTGATTTACAAGGAGGGTTGTGGGCGTTTGTCTTTGTGGTGGTCACAGAAAGGGTTGATGCTCAGAATGTGTAACAGTGGGTTCACCTCTGGCACCAAGGACTAGGAACAGATGCCAGCCCCAAACTGTGGGTAATGCTGTGCTGGTGCTTGGCAGCCAGGTGCCAGCCCTGGTCCTGTTCTCAGGGAGGCAGGGGCATTGAGGGAGGAATTGAGGGGCAGCATCAGACATGGAGACTCACCCTTTGGGGTCTGGAGAACCAGGAGGAAAGGAGTCAAAGAGGAGAGCATATTTCCAGCCCAGGAGAGGCCTCAGTTTCCTCATCTATAATCTAGATATGTATCAGGATTAGGTTCAGCTAGGAGTAACAGAACTTCCCCAGATAACAGTGGTATAAACAAGATAGCAGCTTATTTCTCTGAAGTAAATAAAGTTCAGGATTAGTATAAGCCTCCATGGAATTAGGGACCTAGATTCCTTCTACCCGTTGGTACCCCCACGTGGCTTCCATTCCTGAGGTTACCTCTCGGTCCAAAATGGCTGCCAGAGCTCTGGCCATTATTGCCTCATTCCAGCCCACAGGGTAGAGGAGGGGAGAAGAGGTAGCCATGGGCACGTGCCAGCTATCCTTAAAGACATTTCCTTTGAACTGCCACATATTACTTCTAGTTATAGCAAAGCGGCCAGAAATCAGCCGTATGGCTACATCATGCTGCACAAGAAGCTGGAAAACAAAGTCTTTGTTCCAGGTGATCGTGTGCCCATCCAAACATCAGAGGTGTCATTTCTGAGGAAGATGTGGAAAGTAGATATTGGGGGACAGTTGGCAGGCTCTGACTTGGGGAATGATATCCCTCATGTTTATGGCTTTTAAATGAGATCATTCCCAGAAAGTTTTTTAGCATGCCTGGCCCCAAATAATCTGTGCTGTGTGACCTTGGATGTGTTACCTCACCTCTCTGGTCTTCGTGGTCCTCTCCTCTGAAATGAGAGCCTAATGGTTAAAGTTGTACTTGAAGCCCTTTAGCGTGAAGCCCCCTACACTGGCCAGCAGAGGGCAGTATTGGCGAGGACAAAGGAACAGAGGTCCTCCCTGGAAGGCAGCAGCAGGGGCAGGCACTGCAGAGCCCTGCACGGGGTCCTGGCGGATCTGCCCTCCGCACCCTGCCGTGCCAACAGGTGTAAACCGATAGTTCTAACACCGACTGCGGGAGCTTGTGCTGCCCCGCATTTGAGCGTGTTATTAAATAGCAATAATTATTTTTGGTATGAAGACAGAAATGCTATTATAGAAATTTTGGAAGATGCAGTAAAATATAAAGAAGGAAAATAAATTCACCCTTGATCACACACCCAGGGATAATCATGGTTGGCATTTTGTGGTATATATCTTTTGAGTGTGTTTTCTGAGCAATTTTTTTAGCATCTATGAATATGATATCGTGTTATATATAAAAATAGCAAATGCTGCAGCCCTCACTAAGTCCCAGGCATTATTCACGGCACTTTACATATATCAACCCATCGCAGCGCGTAAGACTCTTACCCGGGGGACTGAAAATGCCCATCCATGCTGAGTTTGCAGCTGTGAGTCAGTCCAGCCCCTCATTTGCTGGGTAAGGCTGTGGAGGTCCAGAGGGACAGCACTTGTCTTGGAAAGCAGGACTGAGCCAGGTGGCAGCCCTGACACCTGCATTCCCGCCCTAACAAGCTCTGCCCCACCTGCTTGTGTCCTCTAGAGGGCGCCAGTCCACCCCACTGATGGGCATGTGCAGCCATCGGTGCGGACATACCCGCCTGCCTGGCTCCCGAGGCGGGTTTAGCTGTGGGATGCCCGTCCCCACAAAGCACCATCTGGCACAAAATTCACTGTCTTTTCTTAATTAAGGTGAGCATGGATTGTGTGGATGCTTTTCTTTGATGATCTAGCAGTCATCACTGTGTGGGTTTCATACTGACCCCCAAATCACATTTTCAAAGTTTAAAATTAGATTACAGTTGGAACTGTGGGCAGGAGGCGTGGCTGAAGTGGGCTGGGATGTGGTGGGCTGGGGAGGGAGCGTAGCTGGGCCCAGCCCTCATCCCTGCCCCTCCTCCTTCAGCCCCGAGGCCACTCTTGCTGGTCTCCTGGCAGCTCTGCACCCGGTCCTGCTCCTCCCCAGGCCTCTCTGCATTGTGTCCCCTCATGGGTCTGGAATGCCACACTCCGTGCTCACGGGCCAGCTTCTGGCTGAGCGTGGTGCCCTCCCAGGTGTGCTCCACCTGTGGCAGGGTGTGCTCTTCTGTGCTCTCCCGGCTCCCCTGCCTCAGCCTCGCCCGGTGGCACACCAGCGTCACCCGCTCTCCTCAGCTCTCAGTCCCCTCTGCCCTGCCCTGATCTTGCCACTCTGACAGACCCAGCAGGAGCCCGAGCTGGGGCACAGCAGACGTGGCGTTGCTCAGTTGCTGGGAGGAGAGCCGAGAATGCCCGGGGCTCCCAGCTTGGAGGGACAGGTGGTGGTGCCCTGCCCAAGAAGCAGGAAAAGCCTGGAGTCTGTCCCCAGAGCCGGGAGCCCTCTTGGGCTCGTCTAACCCCCAGCCTGTCTTTTTCAGCTTCGAAACGGAGCCCCCTTCACCAGACTCCCGAGTGACAAGCTGAAGGCAGTCATCCCCCCCTTCTTACCCCCTTCCAGTTTTGAACTGTGGAGCTCTGATCGGTCCCGGACCTGCCACAATGGGAAGTCAGATGCCATGAAGACTGTGCTGCCCCAGAGAGCCAGCAGGGGCCACCCTGTGGGCGGCGGGAGCACAGACACCGTAAGTGGTCCATGTTGTCACACCTCACTCACCGAACCAGAGATCACTGTGTTTCAGGCAGAGAGACTTCACACCAGCCAATCCAGAGGGGTCGCAGCTTATTTTTTCTTTTGAATGAGTGATGAAGCCCTACAAAGCAACTCAAAATGTTGGGGTGGGGGGAACATCTGTCCCCTCTGGAACCCTGGAGCTCCAAGGAACCCAGTTTGAAGACCCAATCTATCTAATCCAAACTTCTCTTTAGTAGATGAGGAAACTGGGACCCAGAGAGGGGGAGTAAGTTGCTGACGATCACCAGGCAGGCAGGGGTGAGCCTGGGACCAGAAATCAGGTTCTTGGCTTTTAATCTGTGACAAGAGTAGTGTTCTAGGAAGCAACCATGTGCACTATTGGTGTTTTCTTGCACACACAGGGAGCATGACTTCTGTCCTTCTGACCACAGAGGTTTCTAATTCCGTGGCCTTGGTGTGTGTGTATGGAGGCAGTCCTGTCAGTGGGCAGATTATCGCTGTAGGTGTAGCCTGTGTCTATACAGCAGATGCAGTGAACCCAAGGCCCTGCTGTGCTGGGTGACTGTCTGTAGGATGGGGCTGACCCCCGTACTTGCTGCTGCCTCCAGCTGTCGTAATGTCAAATCGATAGTGGGAGACCCAGAGCCTGGCACTAGAGACGCTCTTGAAACAAGCAGGACGGGTTTGCGTTTAGTCCACTGCTCTCGGTCAGGCAGGAATGTAGAAGGAGTTGTAGAACCACCCCTGAAACTTCTTCCATGGCCACATTTTCTTGAGAATTCAACTAACCCCAGAGGGACAGAACATCACCACCTGCTTCATTTGCTCAGTGAACACTCCCTGAATCCCGCCTCCATGTAGCCCAGTCAGCTGACACTGCCCCAGAGGTGGCCACGGCAAAGACACAGGCACAGAACATGAGGCAGGGAGCAGGGTAAGGGGTGTCCTGGGAGCACCAGAGTTGATTGTGTGTGGTGGTGCAATCAGGAGAGGCCTCCAAGAAGAGGTGACATCTGAGTGAGCTGGGATTCACAGGCCGTGGAAGAGCTTGTTCCCCAGTGCGGAGCAGGCAGTGGCATCCCAGGTAGAGGAGCGAGGACGTGTGTGCAAGGCCTTTGCTGGTGTGCTCTGTCTTGCTCACTCAGCAAATAGACCTCATTCTGGGTCCCAGGGATCTACCACTGTCCCTCCCTCAGGGGAGCCCACAGTGGGGTTCTGATGAGGGAACCTTTGCTTTAGTTTCCCGTAGGTGCTGTAATATATTGCCACAGACTGGGAACTTAAAATGACAGAAATGTATTCTCTCTAATGGTTCCGCAGGCCGCAGTCTGAAATCACGATGTTGGCAGGGCCACACCCCCTGCACGGAATCCGGGAGAGGATCTGTTTCTTGCCTCTTGTAGCTGCTGGCTCTCGGCTTCCCTTGGCTGGTGGCTGTGTCACTCCAGTCCCTGTTTCCGTGGTCACATTGCCTCCTCTTTGTGGAAATTCCCTTTTCTAAAGATGCGTGCGATTGCGTTTAGGGCCCACTGGCAAATAAGAATAAGCTCCTTCTCTCAAAATCCTGAACTTAAGCACATCTTGGGCAAGCGCATGTAAGACGATAGTCCCTCTCTTGCCTTCTGAGCTGATATTCAAAGATTCTGGGATTAGGACACAGACTTATCTTTTGGGGACCACAATTCAGCTGGCTACAACCTTTGGTCACATCTACTGGGTGCCTTCTCTGTGCTGAGGCCAGAGCTGGGGGCAGAGGATACATATGGCAGAGAACAAAGTCCCCATGGAGATGACAGTCCTCAGAGGAATCAGACACACAGGCGACCCACAGCAAATGTGCACTCTCAAGTTGAGACAAGGGTTGCAATGCGAACAAACTAGGTGCTGGATGGAGCACACGGGCAGGAGGGAGCTGGCCCTGACTGCACAGGGATGGGCATTGTCAGGAAACCCAAAGGAGTTCAGTGTGACTGTGACGGCAGCAGTACAGGTAGCAGGGAGGGTGGCGAGGTCGGGTCAGGAGGACCGGAGCAGGAACATCGTGCAGGGCCAGAGGCGCTGGGAAAGGCTCCAGAAGGATGTGGGGAGGAGAAGATGCAGTCCAGGCGCAGGGACCGGCAGGGCAGCATCACGGAAGCAGGCTTGGGGTGTGGTCTCTGGGCCATGCTGTGCTGAGGGGGCTGGACTTTGTCCTGGTTGGGGTGAGACTTCTGGGCTTTGTCAGCATATGATGCCGTCAGGGTTCTTTTCTGGAAGGCACTGGAGCTGAGTGAGACTGACAGCAGGGTGACCCACGGGAAACGACGTGGGGGGGCTCGCCTGAGCTAATGGGCAGGTGGTCAGCAGGTAGACACAGCTCTGTGCCTTAGGGACTCCTGACAGGCTGAGCACTGCGCAAAGACGCGCTGGGCGGGGTGCGCTTCGGCTGGGGGTGCACCTGAGGAGCTCAGGGTCCCTCCTGCTGCCGTCCTGCACAGCTGGAGGGAGGAGCACGACCCTAACCACCACACCCACCTTACTCTTGCAGGCTCCAGTCAGGCCCGTTAAGTTTCCAAGTCTCTCCAGAAGCCCAGCCTCTCCTGCCAGTTCCGGAAACGTGAACCACTCACCCCATTCCTCAGGCGGCTCCAGCGGGGTAGGGGGCGTAAGCAGGCACGGTGGGGAGCTGCACAGCCGCTCAGGTGGGTAGCTGGCCGTTGCCCGTAGGAGGTGGGACGACCCCTTGGGGCTAAGGGGTGAGCTGCCCCTGTGTCAGTCTACAAATAGTCCCAGAAATGACTGGCACACAGGCACGTTCTCCTTGATGTGGCTAAGGAACTTTGCAGTGAATTCACACTTCAGAGTTTCTTTTGTGCATTTTCTTGGGCGTGCAGGTGGATGGAGAGGGAAGAAATAAAGTCCACAATTCCTTTTTCCTTTTAAAGTTTTATAGGAAATTAAGAAAAATGCATGCCGTTTTCATGGTGTTTAAAATCTCTGAAGGGGCTGGGTGCGGTGGCTCAAGCCTATAATCCCAGCACTTTGAAAGGCCAAGGCAGGAGCATCACTTGAGGCCAGGAGTTTGAGACCAGCCTGAGCAACATAGTGAGACCCCATCTCTATTTTTTTAAAAAATTAAAATAAAAAATAATAAAATCCCTTGAGGCTAAACCTTAGAGAGTTTTTCATTCTGCCCCTTTATTGAACAGATGAGAAAACTGAAGCTCAGAGTAGGCAAGAGATTTGCTTATGGTCACACAGCAAGGTGGTGGCAATTAGGTCTCACACCAGAGTGCCCAGAGTTATTTTGAGCTTACAGCATACTTTCTGATCCTCCCCAAGTTCATCCAGGATTAACCAAAGCCCGCTTTTCAGGAAGGCCACCCTGTTTGTTGTTGGAAAAGCTTTAAGCCAGACAAGCCAAAATGCTAAAACAAGGTATAATCTCACCCACTGGGGATCAGCATTAACACTTTGGTATATGTTTTGCAAAGTGTCTGTATACATATTATAAATATTTATAAAAAGGAATAATAATTTATCGAGCACTTAGTATATGCGAAGTACAATGCCAAGCCCTTTAAATGAATTATCTCTTTCAGTCCTCTGACAGCCTGTGAGGTTATCGTCTTCCCTTTACAGATGGGGGAGCCAGGGCTCAGGACAGTTAAATAACTCACCCAGGGTCTCACAGCTGTTAAGTAGCAGAGCCAGGACTCGAATCCGGGCAGCCTGACTTACTAAGCTGTGAACTGCTCTGTAACTTGATTTTTCCTTTTTCCACACACTGCTAGATTGCAAGAACCTTTTTTTGTCAATGTGCATATAGCCACCATCCACAGCATCTTTTTAATAACCAAACAGTATTCCATTTATATGAGGCTTCACAGTTTAATTTAACCAATTCCCTGTTGTTGAACACTAAGGCTGTTCCTAGATTTTGGCTCTTGTAGGTAATGCCTCCCTAAGTAATGCCTTCATGCCTCCAGATTTGCCTCCTTGTTCAGTGATTTCCATACATAAGTCCCCTGGAGTCAGGACAGCAGAGTTTGTGGGTTTGCCTATTTTTGAGGCTTTTGATGTGTTTTGCCCTCCAGAATGGCTCTGTTTATACATGTGAAGTATTTATAGCAGTGCCCGGCACATAGTAAATCCTCTGTAAATATTAGTTGTTAGTGTCCTCCCTCGAGCATCCCCCAGCCCTGGGTATTGCCACTTTCTTCCTCCCTTTTATGACAATTCAAGGTTACCAGTAGATGTGGGTAAGCAGGGAGCGGGAAAGTGGCAATCGGGATCCAAAGAAGCAGACCACCCTGAGTCTTACGGAGTTAGGAATTTATTGACTCAATTGTGGGAGTAGCTGGGGACATAAAGGTCCCAAAGGGAGAGTCAGACAGTGAGGGACAGTCACTGACTAGCCCTCCTGAAACTGGTGCAGTTGGACGAGTCAGCCCAAGCAGCCGTCGGCCAGCACTGCAGAGGGGCTGCTGCAGGAGTCTGGGGCAGGGTGTTGCACTGTGCCTGGCAGGGGCTGGCACGAGCCAGTGTGGCACAGGGAAAGCGAGGGTGGACTGGGTCTTGCCCACACTGCCTCTTCCCTGCCTCTTACTATGACGTCTTCGCACTATGGTGTTTGCTGCCTGCTGTCCACCTTCCAGTTCTCAAACAGAGTTCTCGTGTGGTCAACCCTGGCCTGGAGCCCCTCGGGGAAGGGAGTCTGGGAGACGTGATCTCAGCCCAGCCAGCACAGGGCAGCCCTCCACCCCTGTGTTGGAGGGAGCACTCTGTGCCCATGGAGCTCATCTCTGTTTCTGTCTCCTCAGGTGGCAGCATAGACAGCGTATTGTCCCAAATCGCTGCCCAGAGGAAAAAAGCAGCCAGATTATCTGAGCAGAAGTCCAGCCATCGGTCAAGTCCTGTGGGACCAGCGCCAGGGTCCAGCCCGTCTGAGCTTCCAGTCTCCCCTGCAGGTGGCAGCATTCCCGGTGGCAAGGTGCTTATTCTGCGTTGACTCCCCCTACTACACTCACAGATTCTGTCCTAACATGGCCACGTGCCAGGGAGCACAGGCGGTTCCTTAGTCGTGGGACAGGACGAAAGGCAGGCCCCTTCCAGCCAGCCATTCCTGGGCTTCCTGAGAGGGCTGGATCAGTCTGCTGCTTGTACTCACCTCCTTCCGAATCTCCAAGAGAGAGGACGGGGCACTGAGGTGCCATGGACTGCCAGGGTGTGCACCCGCTTCCTGCAGCCCTGAGGGTCATCCAGCCTCACTTTGCACACATTTGTTCATTGATGAGAGCAAAAGAGTTAAGAGCATGGGTTCAGCAGCAACCGCCTGGGTTCAAGTCTCAGCCCCACACTTTGCATGGGGCCTGGCACAGGGTGAGCCTGTGTCAGTGTCAGCTGTCGCTGTTGGCAGCATCGTTAGTCTCTGTTGTACCTCTACCTCACTCACCCGTCCTGTGCCTCATTGGAGCACTGCCAGCAGTGAGCATCCCACCGTGAACTGAGGGATTTGGTGACCACTCGTTGTTACAGAGAACACGAGCATCACACCTTAGTGTCACGGGCTGTTGTGGGGAAATGGGGATCCTGTGGGGGCACAGGTGGGGGTCCCTACCCAGGCTGAGTGCCATCTGAGTAGGCCTCTGAAGGACGAATGAGAAGCCAGGTGAAAGAGTTGGGGTGGGCCAGGGGTGTTGGTGAGACTGCACCAGGTGAGGGAACAGCTTGTGTAGTGCTCCAGGGGCGAGAGCACGGCAGGGGGGAGCTGATGGGAGGTCACGGACAGGACAGAACCCAAGCCTCCCCCGCCAGCTTTTTGGACCATTCCTCCTTTAATGCAGCCAGTGAGTAGTCAGTCCTTCGTCAGCGTCTCTGGAATACACACTGCATGAGAAACACCGAATGCCTCTCCGGAATGGGAAGTCTTTTAGTGTCTCTGGATTCTGCCTTTCCGCTTCCTGAACCCCTTTGCCTTGGTTGGTTTATGGAGTGAGCCCCCAAAGTGTGGGTTCTCAGTTGTGAGTGGGAATGAGTTCCTCCACCCAGTGGCCCCCAGGGCCCCCTCATAGTTCAGCCTAGCGCAGTTCCTCCTCTGAGGGGACCCAAGTCCAGGTACAACCTTCATCATATTTCCTAGATGTCTTCAGGTTTCTCCCTAAGAGAAGTCAGGCCACAGCCAGCTCCATCCCTAGGCCTTTGCCCGTCAAAGAAGTACCTTCAGGGATCTATGTCTTAATGCATGTATGAGAAAGAATCTTTATTTTCTGCCCAACCATGGTCGGTTACAAAACTCTTTTTGTTATTCAGAGTTCCTTATGCAACAGGACCTTCATAATTAGGTTCCTTTTACAATTTAGGTCCCACAACAGTTTTTCTCTCCCTACACATTAGCTTAATTTCCGTTATGTTACACAAAGTTATTTGTGTAAAGGACCTATATAATTAAGTTCCTTTTAGAATTTAGCTGTAGAAAAAAAAAGACACTACTGATACTTCGATATATATATTTTTATCAGTTAGTAAGAATTTATATAATTATTGTATTTCTGTTTTTGTCTTTGCTTCTAGGAAACTCAGAGCTACTCGTTAAGTCTGCCAGTCTAAGGGTGTGATATAGTTTTTTTTTCTCTTTGTTGTCTAAAATTTTCTGTTTCATTCTGATGATTTTTATCAATGTGTTAGATATTATTAGTGTCCTTAAATTGGTGTTGGAAATAGGCAGGCATCTAAGTTATAAATTATATTAACTATTACCTCACTTGGATGTATCTGTCACATATAATCTATATATAAGCATAATCTGATGAAGGGAAATTATGTCAAAAGATGCATTCAGGAAACCATAAACTAGGGAAACCATCCATTTCAATGATCACCTGATATCATTAATGTAATAATATGCTGTGACCTTGGAGAGCTATTTAAAAATTCAGATTTCTGGGTTCCACCCCAGCGTAACTGAATGAGACTCTCAGGGTAGGGTCTGGGGAATTTGTTTTCCCCGCAGAGAGTCTATTGCAGCCAGCCCAGCCCAGGGCTGTTAGAAGCCACTGCCCCTAAATCAAAGGACACAAGTGGGTTTTCTGTCCCAGCAGTGAAATAGAGCCATGAAGTGCTTTTCAAAGACTCCCTTAGTAAGAATTAGAAATTAGTATTCAAAATATGAGCCTCCCGTATCTGGTTTTTGTACTTTGCTTAAAACAAGCAGCTCAGTGTAGTGGTGGAATATTCACAAGGCATGGTGTCTAGAATGATCGTGCGTTAGTGTGAAATGAGCCTTAGGAGACACAGAATGGGTGGAGTTAAAATGTGCACCAACACTTCTCAGATCTTTGGGGGCCCAGAAGGCCCACTAGATAGAGCAGCTTTTTATTCCCACCCCAAAACTCAGTATTTCAAACAAAAAACATTTATTTAGCTTGTGCATCTGTGGGTCAGCGGTTTAGTCTGGACTTAGTGAGAAGTTCTTCTGATCTGGGGGGATCACTGATACGTCTGGCTGTTGACTGGAGTGGCCAAGACGACTTGGCCATGCGTGTCCACAGCAAGCATGGGCATGTTCTCATGGCAACGGCTGAAGGTGTGAGTTGAAAACCAATCAAGTAGTTTAAGCAAGTCAATATGCCCACCGTGGGAGAGTGCACAGAGATACAAAGCAAAGGGTATGGATCCAGGGAGGGCTGGTGATGACGTCCTAGTCTGCCACACCAGAGATAGAGAGAACAGTTCACATATTTCAGAGAATCCCAAATAATCTTATATTTACCCAACCCTTCCCCAGTTACGCTGCCCATGTGGTCCAGAGTATCATGTTTCTTTGCTTTTGGCAAAGATCTGTTTTGTGGGAGTACACTAATTATCTCCTGCTTAATCAGAAATTGTATTTGGGAATGTCCTTCTTTATAGAAAGAGCAGAGGGAAGAGAGAAGAATTTATTAGTAATATAGGCAGCTTTTCGACAAAATCTTTCAAAACCTAAGAGAGGGACTTCTTTTTCCACACTGGAATATAGTTAGCTAGAAGGAGCATTAGAAGCTTAGTAGAAGGAAAGGTGTACCCATTTCCAGGCATAAAAACTACTTATCTTAGTCTCTACTGTACTATACAAGATGTCCAATTTTTAGCAAAAATTATAAAACGTACAAAAAGACAAGAAAACCGTACTCCGAAGAAACAAAGCAATCATTAGAATCAGACTTAGATAGGACACAAGTGTTAGATGGGGTATTTAAAATAACTGTGATTAATAATTTAAAGATACTAATGAAAAATATGAACAACAGGCAAGATCATATGAATAACTATTTCAGCAGAAAGATGGAAACTATAAGAAGGATTCCAGTGGAAATGCTAGAAATATAATAAGAAACACAGTATTAAGGATGAAGAATGCCTTTGACAGGCTCTTCAGTAGACTTGATGTGGCCAAGGAAAGAATCAGTGAACTTAAAGATAGGTCAGTAGAAATTACCCCAACTGAAACACAAAGAAAAGAGAAGTTAACAAACAAAAACAAAACAGAACACCCAGAAGTTGTGGATAATATCAAATGCTGTAGCATATAGGCAGTTGGAATCCTGAAGAAAAAGAGAGAGAGAGAATGGTAGAGCAGAAGGAATATTTAAAGAAATAATGTCTGAGAATTTCCCCAAATTAATGATAGATACCAAACTCCAGATCCAGGAAATTCAGAGAACACTAAACAGGATAAATACCAGAAAGAACATACCTGGTCTTATCATATTTAAACTACTAAAAACAAGACAAAGAAAATCTTGAAGGCAGCTTGAGAAAAATAGAAATTATAGAGACACAAAAAGAAAAATTACAGCAGACTTCTTTTCAAAAACCATGCAAATCAAAGACACTGTTGTGACATCTTTAAAGTGCTGAAAGAAAAAAACAGCTGTGTTGGCTCATAAAATGAGTTGGTAACTATTATCTCCTCTTCTAATTTTCTGCAAGAGATTATGTAGAGTTGGTATTACCTTTTCCTTAGAGGTTTGATAAAATTTGCCAGTAAAACCATCTGGGCCTGCCGTTTTCTCTTTTAGAAGGTTTTTAATTTTATAAAATAAATTAATATATATAGGACTATTCAGTTTATTTCTATTGGAGTGAGTTTTATATTTTGTATCTTTCAAGGAATTATTCCCTTTCATCTAAGTTGTTGAATTATTATAATTTTTTTTTGAGGCAGGGTCTTGCTTCATCACCCTGGCTGGAGTGCAGTGGTGAGATCACAGCTCACTGTCACCTCGAACTTCTGGGCTCAAGCAATCCCCCCACCTCAACCTCTTAAGTACCTAGAACTACAGGTGTGCACCACCATGCCTGGCTAATTTTTGTTATTTTTTTATTTTTAGAGATAGAGTCTTGCTATGTTGCCCGGGCTGGTCTTGCATATCAATCTTCCTGCCTCAGCCTCCCAAAGTGCTGGGATTACCGGTGTGAGCCACCAAGCCTGGCTCCTCTTTTCCCCTAAGATTGGGAGCAAGGATGCATTTTCATGACTAACAAGAAAAGAAATGGCAGACCAATAGCCCTTGTGAACATAAATATAAAACTCTTCATAAATATTAGCAAATCTAATCCAGTGATAAAAGGATAGTATAGTATTATACATTCTGACCAAGTAGATTTCATCCCAGGAATACAAATCTAGTTCACCATTAGAAAATCAATCAATGAGATTCACAATATTAGTAGACTAAAGAATAACATACAGAAAAAGCACTTAACAAAATTCTAAATTTGATCATTATTAAAACTCAGCAATCTAGGAACTGAGGGGAACTTCCTGAATCTGATATATAACATGTATGGCTAGCATCATACTTGATGGTAAAATAGTGCTTTCCCCCGAAGATCAGGAGCAAGGATGTTGTCTCTCACATCCAACTCTCTCAGCTTTATACTATAATAGAAACTATAACTAGTACAATAAGGCATGAAAAAGAAATAGAAGACCTACAGATGGGAAAGGAA